ACACCTTCCCCAACCTTGAGCCAGATGTCTGCTGTGTCAGATGGCACCACCTTAACCAACACTGCTGCCACTTCTCATGTAATTATGCTTATTTTTTTCCTCCTCCGTTTTGTTCAAACAGGTTGTCAAAGGGGAAGAGAATTCAGACTTGTCTGTTACCCCCTTGCACAGACAAGTATTCCGTTAGTAGTGTTCTGTGTTCGCAGTCTGAGAGTATGTTTTGCAACAGATGTTTAAAAAAAACCACTGGTGTAGCAGATTTGGTAATAGGGAAATGTTTCGAAGTTGTTGCACAGTCGTATGGTCAGCTAAGGTCTATCAAAAACTTTGCTTAAAATAAATGAAAATAAATTCAATGTATATCTGTTCCAAATGCATTAAAAAGCGGTCTGCAGTGTTTGAAGAGATTTGTTTAAAATATTGTTAGCAACGTACAGGTTTTTAGAGTTTGCAGCCTCTGGGCTATCATTTTTGGTTTATACCGAGGTACAGATTTCAGTAATGTAACTTGAAAATTCATAGTAAATGTTGGCGATATTTAACGCAGTTTTTTCCCCAGCTGTGACCACTGACTGCACGAAACTGTTTTTTTCTCCTCTAACTAACCTTTTCCTCTCCTAAGCACAATTTCTTACAGGAGTAAACTTCTCAAATAATCTCATAGTACCCAAGTGTCCTGTTACTTTTCTCTTGGTTAAGTCAAGGAAAAAACCAGCATGCTATCACATATTTTATACATACGTTCACTTTTCTGTACCTTAGTACCCTCATATATGGGTAGAAAGAAGGTACGGAATTTGGGTCAAATCCCGATCACTTCTGGTTTCTTTTGAGATTATCTGCATGATTAAAATGAGTCAGAACAAAGCCTTCATTTAAATTGAGCAACTCATTGCTGAATTACAAAGCAGAGAGATGTTCTGAGACTGAAGTTTTACTGGGTCACAACAGTGTTCAAACTGTGTACAAATACTTCAGCATGCTATAGTTTTCAAGCCTGGGAAGAACAAACAGTGCATATATTTTTAAAGTTTTATGTATATTTTCTAAAAAGTATTTTGAGCTCAAACTTGCACGTAGTCACCTGGAAAGTCAATGATCTGTTGTCAGTGCTCTGGATGCTGTTAAGGCAAATAATATTAATAACAGGCATGTAAAAGCTGTCATTCCTAACTCTTGTAACACACCTCTGAAACCTGTTGTCTTTTTTTTTCAAGAGTCAGTACTGTGAATCTGCATACAGCCCAGTAGTTGTGGCCAAATATACCATAATCAATGTAGGCTGGTACGTGTAAATAAGGCACAATCACTACATGACCTTTTACTAGCTATGGGAAGCATGGAACATTTATATTTTCTTCTAACCTACTTCTAAAATAATCAGCTAACTGTATTTCTTTTAGAGCACCATTTTTGTAAGCTAAAGTGAACAGTCCTTCCTTCTTTCCTTTTTTGGGTGGTCTCCCTGCGGAGGGACGTGTTATGGTCAGGTCTGACCACCGCTCTCTCTCTTAGACATGGAAGGGGTGAGCATAACAGTTGTTCACCGCTGATGGACAAAGAGAAAGGATGAGTCCCCCACCAAAGGACAAAAATCCCCAAACAGTCCTGAGAGCCCCACAGAAATTAAACCGCTGGCAAGACCCATCTCTGCAGTGTAGAAAATTCTTCGTCTCCCATCTTCTGTAGAGGAGGGCCAGATGACTACAAATGTGTCCCTGACATGAGAAAGTGATGGGGAAACTGGTGGCACACACACGTGGGCTGCTGGTGGCTCTGCTCCTGTAACCATCATTCTCGAAGGAGACTCATCTTGGTTTTGTAGATGAAAACTGCTGAGAGAACAACAAAAGTAATGTAGATGAAAACTGCTGAGAGAACAACAAAAGTAATACAGGATTGTGCCATGCAGCACTGTGCCCGCATAAGACTTCCCCCATGCTTCCAAAGACAGTATGTGCACGTTGGGGATGTTTGTTTATTCTTGAGGTCCTTAATGAGAGCTTAGGCAAAAAAGTTTTACAGCAGATCTCCTGAGAAGAAGAAACAGCATCAGGAAGAGCTGAATCAACAACATTAAAATGTTCTAGGCAAAAAGCAGAGCTAAACATAAAACTGTGGTTAATCGGCCATACTTTTAGTCCCAGATTACAGCTTCTTTGAAAACCTGAAGTATGAGAATTGTAATTCTTATTTGGGCTTATGCTTAGAATTGGAGTCAAAATCAGAGAACAGCTGGTTTTGGAAGCTATTTTTTCTGATTCTATTCCAATTATGAACATTTGCCTTATAAAGTAATTTTCATGGGTTCTTTTTGTTTATGTAGTTTAAAATTGTGGAATCTAGTGGAAACTTGGAAATGGAAGTACACATTAGATTTTTGCTTTTTCCCAAGTTTTGCTTCAAGAGCTTCAAGATTTGATCCTGAGTATTTCAGCCTAATCCAATGTCTTGAGGCCAGGGGTGTGCTGGGCAGCCTTGTTGCACAAAACTGCTCAGACCTCCGTGATGGGACCTCTTTCCCCTTGCTGCCTGCCTAGCAAGTTAGAAAGCAGCTCCAGTCCCAAGTAGGTGCTCTGCTCTGATTCAGAAGTCCAAAGAGCTGTTCTTTCTGATGCTCAGGCGAATTAAAGGAAGTTTAAACTTGGTAGCTAGGAGGAATCCTTACAAGAGTTTGACTATTTAGCAGCAGGAGTAGGTGGCCGTGCTAGCCGTGGAGCACAGGTAAAGTATATTGGAGAAAAAAAATAAATGGAGGGGCCTAGGGAAATGAACAGCGTGAAAGAGATGAGAATTCTCTTCCCAGTTACCTGCGAAATAGGTGCATTTGGTGAAATATTTTTTTTTTGTATCATCTTATTTTCCCCCAAAGGAGATTACCTGGGAAAGTGAAAGGTCTAATTCATGAATAGGCATCTTAAAGATTTTACTTCCTTGTAAAATCTGGGAACAAACTCCGTCACCTGCAACCAGAGCATCACATTGTCAGATTGAAATGTCAATGGCTCCCGAATGATTCCAAGGGCAGGACAGGCCCTTGGAACTTGAAACTTTGCAAAACTATTTCTTATAGCTAACCCTCTCACCAGTGCAAGATGCGTCAGATAAATGAATGCAATAGCCACCTTCACGGAAACTTTCCACAAAGAGAAAGCCATTAGGAACTAAGACATTATAGCAGAGCTGATATCCCCTCTAAAACCTTTAGAAGCAAAGCCAAAAATATCATACGTGGACATGCCACATATACGTTTATGACTGATGTCCATCACCTACTTGCATGGATCCCGTTTTCATAATCTTGTGTACCTACTCGGTGTAAGAGCCTTACTGTCTAAACCAGCTCTTTGGTAAAGCCCATCACAGCAATATCTTGATTTTTTATTACAGAAATTCATAGGAGTAGATTTTCAGTCTACAAAGAACTCACGCTAGTTCTGCTCCTCTCTTCAGAGAAACAAAAGCCATAGTAAATGAGTGAGAAGATGTAAGGTTCTGAACGTAGTTGCAGCCTGCCGTCCCTAGAAACAAGCTTTCCCCAAAAGACAATATGCCGGAAAAGAGAATGGATGAACTCCTGAAGCAGGGTAGAGCTGGCTGGCCTCATCGAGGAACCTCGTCTGAAAACATGGCTTCATACCTCTCGAAATGCTGTCTTAGAGCTCATATAGCTTTTGTATCCTTACAGCTCCAGGTTCTTCAGGAGGGGAGGATGGTGTGAGAACTGCCAACTTAGTTTATATTTTGGTTCTTTATTAAGAGAGGAAACATTTAAACACAAACATTTTAATGGAGGCATCACCACAACAAAAGCTTTTCAGCTCTGTTCTGAAAACAGACATCCTTAAAATGAGAATGCCCTGAATGCACGTAGGAGTTCACGTGATGTCTGCACAGGAGCCAGGATTTGTTTTGCTCTCTTAGCTATTGGAGGGCGAGACATTAAAAATTTCAAATCAAATCAGTATTCTCCACAATACAAATGTATACAAGAGGTCATGAACCATTTCATTTTTAAATGTAAAAAACATATGCCTTTTAATACATTTATTACTTTTGCTTTGTTGCTTCAGATAGTCTCGTTTAACATTTACAGCATGCTTTAGTTCTGCGTTTGTAGCACTTCTGATTTTGTTCAGATCTGAAGCAGAGTTCTGCATTAAAAGAGATGTTATGGAGAGCTTCCCTCCCTTTTCTGCTGAAATATTCGCTATGCTCTCATTTCATTCAATGCTTTCTCAATAGCTCTGTTTTGATCCTTGCAACGCTCCCCGTAAAAGTGCTACAGCCCAGATTCTAAACCTGAGGGCAGGAAAGCAGATTGGTTCACAAGTACCTCTTGTGACTAAAGCCTAAATGGCTTGCGATGCTGCGATACTGCCTGTTTACTCAGCTTTCCCGTTTTATTTATTGGATTTTGTGTTGTGGGGTTTTTTTTATCGGTGCTATTTATTTTTATTGTGATAGATTACATATCAGCATCCCATAGGCACTCCAGATGGCTTCCATTTTTTAAAGCAGCTTTGGCTCACTCTCTTTAGCTATTCTTAACGCCACTTTTCCCTTCGGTCTGCACAGAAGTTCCCTTAAACATCAATAGGGCTTGAGCACGTGCATTACGGGAATATGTCTCTTAGAGTGAGCCATCTGTGGCAGGCAGCCTTTTTCACACAAGAGGAACTTTTACTGCCATCTTCATTTTATATTGCTGCCAGACCTCGTTTGTGCCATCTTCGTTGCCTTGACCGTGGTCTTTCTGTCACCTTCCCATGACTTCAGCACACAGAAGGAGAGAAGGGGGGAGGTATAAGGTCTATGCGGAACGCATTCTGCTCCCCTTGTGATCAGTTTTGTATTTCAGTGAACGCAGATGCCATTATGGCCGGGTACCTGACAACTGGTAATTGTTGTGTGGATGACAGTCTTGCATCACTCTGTTTGGGATGGCGGTCGGAGGGCTTTGTCTGTAGTTTAATGGGATATTGTTTTGTTTCTCTCAGGCTCAGATCACAGTGAATGGGAACTCTGGCACTGCTGCCAGCCCAGTGAGTCACTTCCAAAGGCCTTTTTCCCCTTCTTCAGCTTACCCTCCACCAGCTTCGCTCAATTCCAACATTGTTATCATGCAGCATGGCAGGATGATGGGTAAGCCTCACACAGAATGTTTGCTTTATACATTACGCAACGTATTCCAATTCATGTGGCAAAGACTGCAAACAATTGCAGAGTGCTTCACGCCCATAATGAAGGTATTGTCTATTCATCTACCTTGGGAAGTAAATGCAAAAAAAAAAATAATGGCATTTATTGTTAGATACAGTAGTGACCCTGAACTGGAGTTAACATTGAGTTTTATTACTTATGTGTGTGAGGGTGAGCTCTCGCCACCTTTCTATTAGCTTTACTGAGGAAAGAGCATATATCAAAATAGCTCGACCTGCGCAGCTCCTTCAGATATTGCCTTCTTTAAGAGACCAAGGGCCAACGTTGTACATTGGTTGTCACCACAACTGCCATAATCTTCAGTAGAAATACTGCCAACAAAGGGAGGAGCTCTGGGCTTTTAAACACTTGAAGCCGTGTCAATCTATAATTTGTTTATGTATTTTTTGTTGGGCGTAGTTAATATTTTTTAAAAAATCCACGCTCAGCCTTAGAAAGGTGCTTTGCTAGTATAATCCAGTTTTGCCAGAACAGTCATTTGCTTGCTGCTTTTTGTACTGGTGTTTTGCATATTCAGATAAGATTATGCGTAATAATAATTTGAATGGGATCCTGGAGTTTACTTTTTTGTTGTGCATGCAGGGAAATTAGGTGACACTTCTCGCTCTGAGACTTACGGCTCAGACAAATGCTGCTATCCCTATCATAGCGATAAGTACATACACTGTATAGATGGGTTTCTCCACATCCCAGAATTGTAGATTCTTTGATTGCTTCCAGTTGGCTGATCAAAATTCTGGTTTGGATATACCTGAAGTAAGTGAAGTGCTTTCCCATGACTTTTGCTCTTGTACGATGCTGAAGCTCTGTGTTCCACAATAACAGCCTGATTTAATTCTCCTTGCTCATGTAAAAATCCCACTGATGGCCTCAGTTTGAAGAATGAAGGATAAAATCCAAAGTGTTTTCTAAATTTATCATGCATTTTGGGAAGAAGGCCCAAATATTCAGACATTTGCCACGCAGAGTTGCCCCTCACCATATATGTGTAGCGCTGGATTATTTACAGGATTTCAAACTTGAGTAAACAGCTGAAACAGCCACACCAAATCCAGCTCTCTGCAGTAGGAGTGAGCAGAAGTATTCCAATTAAAATTGGAGCTGTCAGTCGCCAGAGCTCCTTTTGTTGATTTATATTACAATTCAAATATTTTTCTTCAGAAGAATCAACGGATGTTAACGTCACACCAAAGGCAATTGTAATCTTCACCGGTAGTGTTAGAATATTTATTTTTGCTCCCTACATTCATTTATCCTGCGGTGGAAATCTCTCAACAGCGCTGTACCTGCTCTTGCAAAAAAAAGATGCTTTGTCATAGCAGCCCACTAATTCACCGAAACGTGCTGCCTGAAGGGGTAGGGCTCTTTTTCCTGCATAGAGGAGGGAAGTACATCATCTGCAGCATTACAAAGTTGCACATGACACATCTCAGCAGCGAGGTGTTTTTTGTTAAACTCTATAAATAAATAATAATAACTATATATTATATATTATATATATATTATATATAACATATATATTATATATTATATAAATATTATAATGACTCTATATTTTAGAGGGAAATGGTAATAGTGCCATTTTAATTTCATTAATTATAAAGGAAGAATTGGGGGAGAGGGGTAGAAGTACTGCAAGTCAGCACAAACCAGTAGCAGCCTGCACAGTTCACCTAAATATCTTAGGTGGATCATCAGATTGCTTTGCAGATGCCAAGTTAATGAGGTCCGTTTTTGTGGATTATATGTAGAGGCGCTTAAACATACCAACATACCTTTAAGGGACGAAACTTGTATGTCAGAATCTGTTTTTTAAAAATATTCATGCATCAAAACTTAATGTTTCCAAACACGTATCACCTAAGTCTTTATGGAGGGCTGTTGGGAATCTTGTTGCTGTGCTTACAGAACAGCAATTCTCTGTAGTTTGTTGGGAGGGAAGTTTTGAAATTGTATCGCTAGTTTCAAGGAATGGATAGGAAAGGTGCAAGAGTTTGATTTATAGGAAAAAGACCTCTGCCACTATTTCTCAATAGATTTTGTTGGGTTTGGGTTTTTGGGGTTTTTTTTCTGTTTTTTTTGTGAGCAAGATGCTGTGAAAAAAACCCACTCTAATCTAAGATGATCTGAGTTGAATCGCCTGTCTGGTCCTTAAATAAGTTTATAATTCTGTTAATTTAACATTAAGTAGGGCAAAGCCCCAGCTAAGATGATTATTTTTTTTTAAGTGCTGTATATGTATGTGGTTAAGATTGTTGTCAGTCTTTGTACAGCTTAGTGAAAACGGGGAAGCGTGTTATAACTGCCAAGGATGGTTATTGTATCGTTATACAATATTCTGTCATGTTATCTTTACAGAGTCCACAGAGACGTACTCCCAGCATGTTCAGAGTGTTGGCAGCAGCAGCACCGCCAGTACAATACCAATCTGTAGGTCCTCAGAAGAAGAAAAAAAAATTACAGTCATTAAAGCTCCACATTATGCAGGGATTGGCCCGGTAGATGAATCTGGAATCCCTACAGCAATTAGAACGGTAGGAAATTCTGGGGAATCTGTGTATGAACTCATACAATGAACTGATTGTTGGTAATGGGTTTTTCACATTCTTCTAGTCTTATATAATGTGGAATACAGTGTGCGTAATCAGCGAGCTCATGAATATAATATTGTGTGTTGACGGAAAGGGAGAATGCTGATGGGAGCATAATTGGGCAACCTCATGTTTCTAGTTTTAATTAGAAGTAGCCAAAACTTTGTGTCTCTTTCTTGCTTCTGTTGTAGCTCTTGCTATCTTTTGGAGATATACAGTAATTGCATTTCTTTTGTTATTTCTAAAATAAAGTTTATACATATTGTATATATGTGTGCATGCAAGTGTACGTATATACATATGTGTGTGCATATGTAAAAAAGGTCACGCTTCTGCATTTTGGGGGCAATGGTTCTCCTGTCATCAGGGTAGTGCAGAAATGAGCAGTTTTATTCTGATAATACTGGAGCCGACTAGCATTTTCGTGGAAGTGCAGTATATAATCATTGTGCCCTTGAGTGACGTGCAAACGAACAGCGTGGCAGCCCTTTCATTGTGGCTAGCCCCGGTTTTGATCGTCTGCCACTAGTCCCTGCTTGAGTGGTCCCAGGATGTCGAACTGAAGAGTTTTGTTTTCACTATGCTGAAGCATTCTTTCCACTCTGCTGTCAGGGCAGCCTCTTCTGGCTGCTCCGGAGAGCACAGTGGCAGCTGCACTGGGTCTGGAAAGGGATTTCTTACTGGCCTTCCCAGCCGGAGAAGAAGTGCTGTGCTAGACGGAGAAAGAGTAAGAAGAGTGGGAGCCAGGATGAAAGCGGCAGAGCCCTTGCAGGTGAAGTCTTTGTGAGGTGCAAGGTCGTAGCAGCTGTTGGATGTGTCCCCTCTGCCGCTGCTGACCTATGGGGCTGGGTTCTATTGCCAAGAACTGCTTCAATGGATTGAAAAAATTCGGGGGGAGGAAATTGGGAATTGATGGAGAAAAGCAGTAGGAAAAATTCAGAATAAGTGGTAAGACGGGGGGACAATTTTGATAAGAATGGGGGAAAACTCTGGCATTTCTTGCTGTATTTTTGGCATAGAAAGTAATACGATCGGAATCTTTTAAAAATGAAGAAATTTCTGTGCAACAATTCTCTAGCTTCCTACCCTCTTTTTAAGTAAATATATCCCTATGCTTTATATAGGATAAAGTAATTATTTTTGTTCTTTTTTTTTAATAGCAGATTGATCTAATAGGGTACGTATCAGTTATACAGGATTATAACAGAAATCCCCCTCAAGTGTGCTTAACAGAGTCGGCAGTCTGCCAACCTATATTTAACTTTTGGATTGTATGGTCTGAGCGTCTCAGATTTTCACCTAAAAACATCATGTAATTTGAATTAGGACATTTTTCAGCTGGATTTGCTCTGTTTTTTGTTATGTTTTAATATCAAAAATATAGCTTGTAAACTTAGTATTGTAGAAATGGTTCTCACAGAGAGATATGAGTTGAAAGATTATGCTAACATGTGTGTGTGAGTGTGTCTCGTGCCACTTTGTGTCCTTATTCTGCTTCCTTAGGATTTAGGAAGTGAGCTTGTTTTCAAGTTATTGATCTGAGATTACATCTTAAATGTACATGAGTGTATTTGAGCCCTGTGTACCCCAGTCGTGTAAGAACAAAGGTGATGTGGTTGTCAGCGAAAGACTCAGATGTGCTGCACCTTGGCACCTCTCAGAAGTGCAGTACTATGCAGAAACATGCAAAAGTGCTATAACTGCATTTCCCGTGAACAGTAGAAGGTAGGATATATCACTCGCTCTTTCTCCAAGGTCAGTGAGCCATCCAAATAGGCATCTTCTCCCAGAAAGTTCTCCCTCACTCCATCTGGAGAAAGAAAGAGGTTTTCAGATTAGTTGAGTTTACCGTTGCATGCAAAATTTAAAAGTTTTGTATTCTTCCATCTTTATGAAAATGGCAACAGTCTGTCAAAAAAGCAGTAAATGCAGATTCACGGGTGATAGGCAACATACACTCTGTTTTCTGAAACATTGTGCTACTCAAAGGTAAGCTAAATAAGAACTTAGGAGTATCTGTATTCCAGATTTGGACTGCTTTTAGGAGTAGAGAGATTTTTCAAGCTGTGATTATCTCCTCCAAGCCTTTCTTTACTCTCACAACATGCTTTGTGACAGCAGTTTAACCAGTGAAAGCAGAGCAATGTTTTCTTTCTATTCCTGCAAACTCTCTCTGTCCAAAGCTGCTGGGAGGGGAAGGACTCCTGTAAAGCTTTCCCATCTCTCAGAACCTCCATCCCATGTCAGCATGTTCCCTCCATACCACTTGAGCTCCTGCCAGCGCTGGGAAGTGCAAGTCCGAAGCCTGAAAATTTAGATCATTGTTAAGTTCTGCCACCATGCCAAGCCCTGCCCCAAAGATAGTGACATTCCAAGGCATTAAAAATGAAGTCTTTGGAAAAGAGAGAGTAAAATGCTGTTCACTCAGAGAAGCCTTCAGGCAAACGGCACCATCAGAGTTTGCCACCAACAGGATCCCAGGAAAGGAGAAAAGCAGATTCATGGAAAACAGTATGACTGCACTGTTTTAGACTATCCAAAATGATTGCTTCGTGTCTAACTAGCAAAATTAATCTGTAGACTGAGAAGGCCTCTATTTACTAAGAATGAAAAAAAATTAAAAAATCAAGTCCCAGCAGATTTCTTTTTCGTACTTAGTGATGTAATAGTTCAGCTAGAAAAAAAAAAACACAGAAGGTCCCCTGAAAGTCATAAATGCCTCCTTTTATTGCATACTTTGTGATGGATTATTAAAATACTGCAATGATGATGGACTTTTCTGAGTACAAACTGCAGGTGCTTTTTATGTCCTCTTCACACGATTTGGCTGATTGGTCATTCACGTATGATGATACCGTGTTCCAACATTTAACTGCAACAACTATAATGTATGCAAAGCAGGATGGCATCTGAATGGTTTGGTGCATTGTCAATACTGATAATTCCTCCAACAAATGTTGGTATGTGGGATTAGTGAATATAAATTGAGAAAATTTATTTTAAAAATAATTTATTCTACTCATTAACTAATCCTATGTGGCTTATAATGTAAAGCCAAATTATTGGCTGAGGCTTTAAAACCCAGGGTGGGGGTTGAGGGAGTGATGATGAGAGAAAAACATTCAGATGTCCAGAAAGATGTTGGGAGACCTTCTCTGGTCATGTGGGAGCTTCTCCACACCTGATCTCTATGTGGAAGCCTTCTCTTGATTTGTGGAGGACCTGACTGCTAAGGAGGATCCTGCAAAGAGATGTCTGTGCACCTTTGTCGCTTGACAAACATTAGGATCATGGCAGTAATATTTATGCACTGTTTGCAATCTATTCGCGTATGACTGATTTGAGCTCTATTGGAAGATTCTTCTTGGCTCAATACAACCAGAAAGGCAGTTGTGGTATCATGGGGCCATTGCAGGTTTGTAGTGCTGTGGGAAATAAGCAACCATGGAGGTTATGCCCATCGGCATGAGTCCCTTCAGACCTTCTGGACTTCCGTGTAAACTTTTGAACGTACATGATCTTGGAGCGCCAAACAGTATACTTGTTTCAAATCCAGCTAAATTATTCTTACCAGAGTTGCACTAGTATAGATATTTAATATCTTTAGGGAAACTGTTAAAATGGTCCAAATCTGCTTCTGAGTATCTTGTCTTTGGCAGAAGTCGGGAATGTTGGTAGGTGGGGGAAGGGACCTGATCTGATAGGAAACTGTATCTCCTTCATCTTTTGCAAGCAGGTCTGGGTAAAAAGCATAACCGACTGCTTGAATTTCTTTCTTACCCAGCAGATTCCTGCATTCTTCTGATGACTATCAGCTCTTCTTTTAAACAATTATTATTTTTTTTTAAATGTCATTTAATAGCAATTTTATGAGAACTCATACTGATTCCTCAAAATACAGGAGCATTTTCTGCTTAGTCCCATATAGTAAGAGTTCACCATCATTAACAAAACAGATTAATTAACAGATTATACGGTAACTGTAACAAATACTTAGGGCAAAAGTGATTTGCTCAAGATGGCATGGAGCCGGGTGAACACGCTTAGATCTGTGGGTTATTTTGGAGAGAAGAACTTGTGGATTTTCACTTTTCATGGTAAAGAGGAGAGGGCAGGGAGATGGCAGATTTGGTATTGCCTAATGCACGATAAGGCACATGAAGAGGGGTCTTTTGAATTATCCCTGTGCACCGTGAGGTTTGAAGATAATTTTGTACATCTGCATTGAAACTTTCGCTTTTCTGACTACTGTGGAACAAGTAAAATTTTAGGACCTAAGAAGAATAATACTGAAAACATGTTTGCATTTGTGCTATCTCCTTTTCTGCAATCTTATCATCATATCTCAAAGACAATTGCAGCAAAAGAGAAAAAGCAGAAGGGTAAGAGATAAAAATAATTAGAAGCACAAGCAAATGTTAATATGAGGAGAGGTTGGGAACTTTGGGATTGCTTAGTATACAAAAGTAAGGATAAATATAATTTAACAAGTGGTTATTGAAAGGTATATTGTATTCACTTTTCTTAAAATAGAAAAATAAGTTAAAATTCAGTTGCCTGGAAAGGGGATTTGAAATCGATAAAAGGATATATTGTTTGTTTTCAATCCAAACATTAACTCTTAAAGGTAGTGTTGTCTTAATTCTTTTCTCTTTTATTTCTCTTTTCCAAAGTTTTACTGCATTATTTAACAATTACATTTTGAAGATAATTTGAGTTTGAAATTGCCAGGAGTTCAAAAGAAGCTCTTCTTACATGCTTGTTATTGCAGAGGTGTTTGTATTTTCCTGTAAAATATCTAGTGTTCATCATTGTCAGATACAGAAGATAAACTCTTGATCTGGCACTAGTTCCTCCATTCCTAACCGTTCTACCCTCCGAGATCAGAGTCCAAAACTGACTCAGTCTTCAGTGTCTTCCAGAACTTGTTACAGGAATTCCTAGATGAAAAACATAAATACGCTATTTCAAATAGATGCTGTGAAAACTATTATATTAAATACGGGGCAAAACATGATAGTCTTCGTGTCCAGAATAACATTAAATGTCTGATCAGATCTGTACTCACAGGTATTTTTAATTTTTTTGTTAATTGTTAAAAACTGTATTTTGTTTAGACAGTCGACAGGCCGAAGGATTGGTACAAGACAATGTTCAAGCAAATCCATATGGTTCATAAGCCTGGTAAGTATGCTTTTGTTTTGGCTGGGTGGTTCTCAGTGGTATTAAAAAATGCGCTTTTCTGCATTTTGATCATCTACTATGTGAAAATGTAAGTGTTCACCAAGTGTCAGATAATGAATCAAATCAAATGGGTAAATTTGATGATGGATTTTACTGCAGAGAGAGCTATTTTCCTCTGCTAAAGGCTGAAAATTTCTACTGGGTTTATTTTATTACTAAAACTAAATAAAAATTGAAGTGATTAGAATAGGTGTGCAACCAGTATGATTCCGTGTCACTGGAGAGCTCAGTGAAGTGATCCTCATCTCCAGTTTTAAGGATGAGATATTGGCCACTGTAAATCTCCTACCGTACCAGCTTTCTTCTGGAGAGCTCATGTGTTAGAACAGCATGGGCTCATTAACAGGCTGTTTTGAGGATACGTTTTCCGTCTGAATTGCGTTTTTTTGGTAGAATGTCTTATTTGGTTTTGCTGAAATGGAGCTTTGGTGGCATCACTAGCGTTAGAGTTAACGTCCTTTATCACGATTGTCACCAAGGATGTCAAGAAACTGTCTAAACGGAAGTTATGTTCGTTACGCCCCCGGAAGGGAGGAGCCTTTATTTGCCTGAGCTAGAGCTTGCCTTCAGTGTGGTCATACAGAATTAGTGGGAGAATAAAAAATGTAAGCAGGAAAGTTTTGGCTTCCAAGATCTATTTTGAACACTAGTCACAGAGTAGATCTTTGAGGTTGCTTTTTGTGATAGGAACAACTTATTCATAGTCTCTAGGAGAGGAGAGCTGACAAAAGGAAGAAATTGAGCTTGGGCAAGGGAGAAGACCAGACAAAAAGCTGTAATTTGCAATTCGGTGCTAACCAGTATGTGCACAATATGGGTGACATGCCAAGAAGATACCATTTTACCAATGAGGTGGTAAAAATAGCCTATGGTAAGTATAATGGGAAAAGAGAGTCTTCAGAAAACACCTGTGAGATGAGGAAAAGAAATACAGCGCTTGATTGCCTGCCAGTCTTCTGCTTGTATTTGCAAAACCCAAGCTGCGTTGCTGTGATAAACTGGCACGAATTGCACTGCTGTAACATGTGTATTTCTTTTTGTAGATGACGACACAGACATGTATAATACTGCGTATGCATACGGTACTGGTAGGAATTATTCCCTCACTTCCAAATGAGTCTTTTGTTAATGTCAGCAAGTAACAGGGGTAGTTAACTATTCACGCTTGCTTTTATAATGCTTATATAAACACTTTTTATTGTCTTGCTTGATCTCAGTTGGTGTTTTTTCATGCCTTTTTTCCCAAATGAAACAAAGTTTAATTTTGGTTTCATTCTTACCACAGAAATGAATTGCAGCTGTGGGTCTCTTACTGCAGATGGGATATATTGTAGTACTGTAGTTTCTGATTACATTGCGTTTAGTTTCACTGGTGATTGTGAGAAGCGCAGCTTTTCCTTATCAAAATGAAAAGGGAGCTACAGGGTGACAGTACAAATGCTAATTACTGAAAACACCTTTTAAAAATACGCAGTAAGAGTGGCTAATAAAGATGACTGGTTTATGATCTTGTTCATTTTTGCAATAGGCACTGGTGGTGATGATATTTAGCTGCAAGAAAGACATATTCATCTAACAGATATGTAATTGCATCTTTCAGAAGATTATACCATGTGGTAAAATTATTTAAAAGAACAAAAGTGACAGTGTGAAAGAGTACATAGGCAAAAAAAAACAACCCATAGTGCCTTGTGCAAAAGTGCCATTCAAAATTCTTCCATTTCAGCATTTGGTGCATTTGACATGCTCTCATGCTGCCTTTTTGTGTCCTGTTGAGAGCATTTGTTGTGGGTCAGTTGTTCGAGACCTGTTTGGACTCTTGTGATCCTCTTCAAGAGATGCTATTGCCTAGTTGTCCTAGACTAACAGCAATTATTAAAACAATTAAAAATAAATATGCGTTTCCAACCACTTCTCTGCCTTCTGAACATAGAAGCAATGAGAGGCAGGACAAGCCTGGGGATTACTAACAGACTATCTTTAACAGCTCTGATGGATACATACAGCCATTAACTTCTCCCTCCCAGTCAAATTAATCGTTAATTGATTTTAACTAAATACACGTTATCTCTGTGTTTTTATTTTTATATAGAAATATATAAAAAATATTCCGATGAGCTACATAGTACACAGCATTTAAAAATGCATTTGCACATTTTTTGTAACCTTGCAGCTTTATTGGGTAACGGTGGGTTCTTGGAGCGTTCTGTGTTGTGTTTTATTAAAACTCATGCTGATGCTGTGACTATTTCTGCTTTTGTTTTATGTTAGGTAGCTACAGTCCATCCTTCTCTGCTCAGGCACACCCAGCTGCAAAGACGCAGACGTACAGACCATTGTCTAAAAGCGCTTCTGACAGTAGCTCCGATGCCTTTAAGGTCTCATCCCCTTTACCACCTCCACACGTGCCACCTCCGGTCCCACCACATCGTCTGAGGGAAAGGTCTACACCAGAAAAGTAAGTTGGCGTATTTTCGAAAAGTGTTCTTGGTATGTACAGTAGTCCAATTACAGGCTATCACAAAGGATAAAATAGCAGCTGTAGAATAATATGACTTTAAGGGCTTTGTTCAAGGGACAGTCAGGTGTTGAGGGGCGATCTTCATCAGCAGTGTGGGCATCATGCATGGTCCTGCCGTTTCTTCAATGTGCTAAAGAAGTGCTTGTTCTTAAAAAGTGATACCACCATAAGCATTTAAGAATTTCATTCTCATAAGCAGGATTGTGCTTCTCGTGTTTCCAAACAGTCCGTGCTCTCTTGAATAATCTCTGAGTAGGAAAGGCCATTTATGGCATCCAGTAGCAAAGAGAAAGAATCTAAATGATGTAAGTTGAAATTCAAGGAACAGCAAAACGTTAAGAGTGTAGCTGAGTCAACCCACATTTCCCCAGAGCTCAGAAGTGCTTTATATCCCTATTTTTTAAATCTCCCTCTCCATTTTGGTTGACCAAGGAGGTGTTTACAGATTAAAGGAGCCTTTTGGTTTTCTCGTGGTTTTCCAGTTTCAAACTTGCTCCACAAAATGAGATCCCAGTGTTTAGAGTCCAGTCTGGAAAATGTTAATACCTAATAACTCAGGAAAGACATGCTTATCGTTCTGATAAAAACATGCGAAGTGCAAAGACTCTTCAACCATATCTGTAGCTACTACCTCAGGCACAACCTTTTTCTTTTAGTGTTTACATTCGTGAATACTACATGTTAATATAATATTATGTTATTACACATTTTTCTGTGTATGTGTATCAATGTATATATTTTATACATGAAGAGGATTGTTTTTTGTTCCATTTGTGGCTACAATCCCACCTCTCTTGGTTATGCTCAAGTAGCAAAACAGAATTTGCCCATTTTGTCAGCTTGGACATTATAAACATTTTTATATGTAGAAATTGAATTGTATTAATCAGTTTCAAATAATTTGCAGTTTGCATAAAATATTATGAGAAAAGATTATACTGAGTATTTAAAATAAAGAGCATGACTATGACTTTTTGAAAAATTTGTAGGTAGTGGCAATCCAGAAGGTAATCCATCAGATACACTTATTACAAAGGAAAATGAGATTTCTCGATGGTTACTGATTTTGGCTGCTCCTGTTGCTGAGGGCAGGCTGTCAAGAGGAAATGCCAAGGGTTAGAGCTGGGCTACCTCCCAAAGATTTGAATTTTCTTAGCATGTCATACGGAAGCATAGATTTTGTTCGCAAAGGCACCAAAATGCGGATCCGCTTAGCTTTGATCTCTGAAGCTCTGTGAGTCATCATCCTGCGCGAGGCCAAAGGCCTCGGTCGCAGAAACTGAGGCCTGTTACAGTTCCTTTTGTCAAGCTTGGAAATAACTGCTTCAGCACTGAACTCGGTTGTTTAGCCTCTCCTTTTAATCTCCCACATGGTAAGACAGGCAGTGGAAATCTATGTTCTCCAGGCCAGGGGATGCCACGTTAGTTATGCTTTGCCTGCTGCCGACAGCTATAGCTTGTCAATCTTTTCCTGCCATTGGGAGATTCTTTTTTTTAATTGCCTATAAAGCCTGAGCGTTTAAAATCTCACATAAGAGGCTTAGGTCCACATGTATCACAGTTTTATAGCTGGGAGGCAAGATACAGTTTGCATTAACATAGTCCATTAGGGATTACGGGCTAAACGTTGTAAATTAAGTGAACTGAATCAGAATTTCAGCAGCATCTTTTTTCTTCAGCGACTTGCAGGATGATGCAACTTGATCAGAACGTTTCCATTTTCCTGTTCATTCTCAAAAAAACACAACCTTTTCTGCTCTGAAATTATTTTTTTTTTCCTCAGTGAAAATAAACAATGCAGCCACGTGGAACTACTTCCCTTGAACTGTAGGGCATTTTCTAAACAGAGGTGTCTGTGTGCCAGAAATTGCACTCACAAACGTACTGTAAACAAAAGCTACTCCACAGACTTTTCTTTTAAGGCACATGACATGTGCCTTATGGTGTCAGGTCACATCAAACCAAGTCACATCAGAAAGGCAAATAGAACTGATGGAGTTTAATCCGCGTATGCTCTTTCTCGTTGTAAACACAGGCAATAGCTGAATAGGGTTTCCCCTTTCCTTTCCCCCATTCTTTGAGTGCCTAGTGGGTCATTTTACACAGAGATAAATAAGAAGATGTGCGAGCTACAGTCTTCCGAATGCAGTGTGAGTAGTGACTACAAAAACTGCCATGAGGTTACTCTCACTGTGATGTACCTAGCTAACTATCCCCCAAAAATGCGTAGGGAGCTATTGATATAACATGGCAAATTACTGAAAAAATAGAGTAGTAGGGGTTACTTTTTATTCTTTGCATAGCACTGTTAAATTGACAGCAAATTTATAATTGGAGAGAAAATGGCTAAATTTCTGTCCCAACGTCAACTGCTGAATCCTTGTTCTTCTTTATCTATTCAAATTTACAAGGAAACAGGATACAGCTTACAAGGATATTCAGGAGCAGTTCTACTACAGATCAGGATAAGGAGCATCTATGAGATTTTCACAGTCTTTTAAAAAAATCCTTATTTTTTTTTCTCAGAAAATTCTGTAACTTTTTCAGTATGGACTTACTATCATATTGCGTGATGACAAAACTGTCTACCGCTTGCTTATGTTAGTGTAGTGCATAAAACAAGTATAGGAAATTTGCAATTTCAGAAGGCACGTCATGGTATTTTGACACAATATATCAGGGAAGTCTACCAGTTCACAAAAGAGTGAGCAATCACATAGGCTGGACGTCCCTAGTATTTTTCCTGCTGTACTGAACATACCTGCTGTGAACAGGTTAATCATAGAATAGTTTGGGTTGGAAGGAGACTTTAAAAGGCCATCTAGTCCAGGCCCCCTGCCATGAGCAGGGACATCTCCAACTAGATCAGGTTGCTCAGAACCCTGTCCAACCTGACCTGAAATGTTTCCAGGGATGGAAAATCTACAACCTCTCTGCACAACCTGGGTCAGGGTTTTACCACCCTCAGTGTAAAAAATTTCTTTCTGATATCTAGTCCGAGTCTTCCCTCTTTTAGTTTAAAGCCATTACGCCTTGTCCTATCACTGCAGACCCCGATAAAGAGTCCCTCCCCAGCTTTCTTATAAGCCCTCTTTAAGTACTGGAAGGCCACAATAAGGTCTCCCCTTTGGGGGCCCCCAAGCTGGAGGCAGCACTGCAGGTGGGGTCTCCCCAGAGCAGAGCAGAGGGGCAGAACCCCCTCCCTCGCCCTGCTGGCCACGCTGCTGGGGATGCAGCCCAGGATGCAGTTGGCTTTCTGGGCTGTGAGCGCACATTGCCGGCTCATGTCCAGCTTCTCATCCACCAATACCCCCGAGTCCTTCTCGGCAAGGCTGCTCTCAGTCCCTCCATCCCCCAGCCTGTATTGATACTGGGGGTTGCCCTGACCCAGGTGCAGGACCCTGCGCTTGGCCTTGTTGAACCTCGTGAAGTTCACACAGGCTCACTTCTTGAGCCTGACCAGGTCCCTCTGGATGACATCCCATCCATCAGGTATGTCAGCCTCACCACTCAGCTCGGTGTCATCTGCAAACTTGCTGAGGGTGCACTCGATGGCTAAGGTGACACAGTGGTTAAAAGATTGCTATGCAAGGCCAGACATTTCACAACTGAAATCTGGAAAGAGAAGCCATGCTGAAGTTCATTTGTATCTGTGTGTTTCTCTTGCACAGAGCTGTAAAGCAGATGGCAATGACAGTAAATTAACTCAATTGCTCATGTTTGTTCTTTAGAAATGACTGGGATCCCCCTGACAGAAAGGTAGATACCCGCAAGTTCCGTTCTGAACCAAGGAGTATTTTTGAATATGAGCCGGGAAAGTCATCAATCCTTGAACATGAAAGACCGGTAAGACACATAAGTGACATGGGTAATACAGTAAAGAGGTTTGGTGAGAGGTCATCGTTTTATTTACTACTGATTATAATACTTAGATGAATACTGAAGGACATTTTTCAAATATGATTTTGTGGCAAGTTGGTTTTGCTTTTTCCTGATGATTGTGTTGAAAATGTAAGTTTGGCTTATTTGCTAAACTTAGATCTTCTGGTATTTCCAAGAAATCAAACCACCGCTCTGCAAACCTAATGGATCATGAGCAGAACTGGGAATTGATGGCAACTGCTTTTCCTAATTGGCATGCATCTCCAGCACTCATTTTCAGTAGTATTAATAGCACATATAATAGCTGATTAATTAATGCATAAAAATAAACTTGCATTTTCAGGATGTGGCTAATTGTACCCTTAAGGAGGTTTTGGTCAAGTACTGGCCCAGGTTGCCCAGAGAGGCTGTGGAATCGCCATTTCTGGAGGTGTTCAAGACTCACCTGGACACAGTCCTGAGCAACCTGATCTGATTAGACCTGCTTTTAGCAGGAGGTTGGACTAGATGACCTCTGGAGGTCCTTTCCAGCCTCAATTACTCTGTGATTACTGAGTGTACATTAACATGTAATTAGAAGTCTGATTGCAATTGGGGTTTTTTTTCAAAAGCATATCTGATGAAGCTACGCTTAATGCATGCAAAATGACCATTAACAGAAATGTTCATTTGCTGAAAGACACATTCACCGAGCCTTTCTAATTTACCTTTGTGCTATCTCAGTACTTTCTTATTTCAGGAAAACTGTTGTGTATCAATGGCAGTATTTTCTTTTCTTGGGCTTTTACTTTGAGGTTGAAATGGTTGAGGGAGTCCGGTTTTAAAGAAGGGGTTTATGTAACGAATACTGGATTATTATTTACTTCTGTACTCTGTATTACATGCTTGTTCACATAATCTATTTTACTAATTTAAAATAAATTAAGCAAATAATTGAATTCCAGAATATGGAGTATGTCGGCAGTGTGAAACGCCTGTACTAAGCACCTTTCCCATGTGTTTTAATGGTCTTTGCAGGAATATCATTTTTGTTCGCTAGAAAATACTAAGCTGTGTTTCTGTGAAATTAAATTCTTGCAGAACTGATGCATTTTTCAAAGAGGAAATTGGCATTTCTAGATGACTTGCTAGTAAATCGATATAATTAAATGGGATTTAGTATTTATTGTGAAGCTGAACTTAGCAAATAATTTTATTTAAAAGGTGATGGCATTTGTTCTGAGCACTTTTTTGATTGCCATGGCTGCGTTATACGCGCTGAGGTCATTTAGCAGCCTTCCCAATGCCAAAGAATAACAGCAGATTCAAGTTAAAAATAATAAAATTACAGTAATGTTTCAAGAATGGACTCACGTTTCTAATAAATTACATTTTCTACTAATGTAATGCGAAAAAAAAATCATATAGGAATTGCAGTGCTGATGTATATGATCATAGATACGATTTTTCAATTTTAGCAAACTAATGAAATGACAAAAAAGTAAGCTTTGCTCACTGTTCCTGAACCTTTTTGTTTTAACTTGCTTATGCTTTTTTTTTTTTGTTGTTCTCAATCGAGAGGTTGGACTTGAGCTTTGCTTGGTCCTTAAAATATTTTCATGCAGAAAAGCCTTAGTCACATTGTACTTACTGAGCAGCATCTGTCAAGGGCAACGTCACATTTTTATCATCTAAAGTTTAGACTAGAAGTTTAGATTTAGCTGATGTAAATACAAGGAAACGTCCCTTTGTAGAATAAATTGAAAAAGCGGAGGAAATAATATTCATGGACAGAATGGAGAGATTTTTTGTTTATTTATAGTTCCGAGCTGTACAAGATTGGATAACAGGAATTAACATAGAATACAAGAGCTGAAACTTGTGCTGACACTAGTGCAACATTATTAACTGATACAAAAATAGTTGCAATAAG